CACCGTGCTTTATAATTCCCCAGTTTGAAAATGCATTATGACTGGAGTTTTTATTATTTATTTCAACTCTTTGATACCTGTTTTTGAGGTATGATTTGATCCATTCATTAGCTTTGCCAGTTATTCCATAGAAATTTAATTTCGATAGTAAGATATCATGATTAACACAATCGAAAGCTTTTGCTAGATCACAGAAAATCCCTCCCACAATTAATCTGTCATTGAGAGCACTTAAAATATCGTTAGTTAGTTCATAGGTTGCTTTTTCTGTTGTTAGGTCTTTCCTAAATCCAAATTGCTCTTTGACTAATATGTTGTTAGAATTTAAGTGTTCAAGTAGTCTATTATACATAACTTTTTCAAAGATTTTTGAGAATGAAGTCAATATGGATAAATGTTAAAAAGTAATTCAGTTTATTTATGAAATTATAAAATTTCTCTTATTTTAAAACTGTACATTAATGAGCAAGTTTAATATATTTTTATGAACATGAAATAAATGAGCAGTCTTCAACAATAAGGGAAAGTCGGTACAACTAAAATTATGAATTATTAAGCAGTATTTATTTGGAAAGACATTCAGACAAATTTCTGTTGGACAGATGCTCAAGAGTAAGTTAAAAACTTTACAGTAACTTGCATATTTGATAGAAGACTTAAACAGTATAAATTATTTGTTACTCTGTATTCAAGTTTGTTTCATTATTACTTCACATTTTTAAGTTGATATTTCCACTCATTAACCTGCCTGTTGTAACGTTGAAAGGTTTCTCTCAAATACTTGCAGATGATCCACGCCCACGGGGCGGCCATTACGGCCAACACATTCTCCCCAGACGGGAAATATCTGTCAACATACAGCTGTCATGAGAACCGACTTTCCTTTTGGCAGGTAATTTGAAAGAAATAGTTCTCATGAATTATGTTGGTAGTAGAATATTGCCATGGAAGTAGTGACTGAAAGAGACAGTTATAGAAATAAGGATAGAGCAAGTGAGCCTGTCTGGTTTGGTGAAATGACCTTGAATTTATAGAAATGTATTCATTAATATCAGTGCCTTGGGTCATCAGGTCCACATCTGGCTTGCACAGAGAATCAGGAATTCTTACAAATACCATATTTACCCAACAATATGACAGCCTCAATCCTGTTTATTCATAATGGCTAGTTTTAGATGCACAGAATGCTTTCCTGTTGAAACCTGATATCACTTGTTGCATCATATTTTCTGTGCATTTTACTTTAGCCATGCATTAAAGACAGCTTCATTTATATTACTGAAAATGCTATTATAATTATAGCACATTTAACTCCTGGCATTCAGCATTCTATCTTCAGAACAATCAAATATTGGTGACAGTCATGTTTAGAGATTATCACTATTACCAGAACTTTGTAAAAGAGCAGACAAAGGAAATGCGTAGGTAAGTCAATAAGTAGGTTACAAATGGATGTAGAACTGAAAGAAATAAGGGTACTGATTTGAAAAATGCGTTTATTTCTCAACATAATCTTCCTGTACATTGAGGCACTTGTCCCATCATTTCACAAGCCCCTTAAAACCAGCAGCATAAAATCCTTTGGGCTGCTGGTGGTGACTTCCCTTTCTACAGCTTCATCGTTCGGAAAATGTTCAGCAGAAAGAAGATGTTTAAGTTTGAAGTCCTGAAGCATCCTCCATATAGCCGTGACATTGCTCCAGGAGAATTCCATTTGTTTGGCCCTCTTAAACATCATCTTTCAGTTGAACATTTTCCCGACAATGAATCTGTAGAAAAGGAAGTCTCCACCAGGTTCCGACAGCAGCCCAAAGAATTTGATGATGCTGGTTTTCAGGAACATGTGAAACGATGGGACAAGTGCCTCAATGTACAGGGATATTATGTTGAGAAATAAAAGCATTGTTCAAATCAATTTTTAAGTTCTATATCCATTTGTACCTTACTTATTGACTTACCCTCGTATATCAAGAAAAGTTAATTTCTTACCATCAGTTACATTAATTTTATTCTTGGAAATATGTTTTGTGATCTGTACACTTAAGTTCTCATGTGATATGAGCTGAGTTGTGTGACACGCAATGCTGAAGAGCTGAGTGATGCATGGGTTAGCCTTTAGTCAGGCACAAATCAGATACATGGTGAACAGCCTGCACTAGGAGATGGAGAATACTGGCTAACCCATCTATATATGTGGGAAAACACAAATTTCAGAACATCATTTCTCAACAAAATAGGCTGTATTTTGCTGTTGTTTATGGCCATGTTGAAGTATTCTATTTATGTGTAAACTTTGCGTGTTTTACAGACATCCACTGGAATGTTTGGATTGGGAAATTCACAGACACGCTGCATAAAATCATACTCCACTGCTCCAATTGCTGATGTGTCACGCCTGAATCCCATGAGACTGGCTCGTCTTATATGGATTAATAATCGAACAGTATCACTAATGCTAGCTGATGGCTCTGAAACTCGGTTTAATGTATGAGAATACACCACATAATTAATATTAACAGCTAACTACATTTCATACTGAAATTAATTGTAATATAATCCTATATCATTCTTCTTCATTGCTATGATTTCATACAGTTGACTGCTCACAGACTGGAAGTTCTTACAGGAAATATTAGGATTGCATCATTCGGAATGAAGCTGGATATGGCTGCTATTTATTTGCAATTTTTTTGTATATAAACTTGAAATAAGAGTAATATGTAGTATTTGGATTCCTTAGGATTTCTTTTAATGTAAAATACCACATAAAACATGAAATGTATCTATTTACAGTAAGTTCCAGAAACTTAAGAGGGCAGATGCATTACAGCAGATCAGAAACAGAAAAGATGAATATAACAGTAAACAAAATATCTTAATATTTACGTATGTTCTCATGTTATATGAATTAAAATATTAATGAAAAAAATTGTGAGAATCTTTTCATATAGTTGATTGTTCAATATATGATGCACTTTGTCTAAACGTTAAACTTATTTATTGGATAGTCACAAATATTCATTCATCTGAATTGCTGTTGTCACTTGTGTTAAAGTTGATGAGAGTTAATACTGTATTTAAGTGTTAATAACATTATAATATTGGACACCTGTTATAAGTCATTTAAGAGGTGCTTGTAAATTCCTCAGTTTCCATAACTGTCTTCAAATCCATCTTTCTGTCACAGTCGCAGGGAAGAAAGGGTGAAGTTTGTAACATATTGCATGATGGGTCTGTTGGGGATGGAGGAGTAGACATCTTGGAAAACAGTGAATTAAGATTCTAATGTGAAGGGAAGAGAAGTGGCAACTATATCAGTATGGAATGGGTGAAGAATAAGCATTCAAATAGTTGCGATATGAATGGAGGTTCATTCATTCATTCATTTATTTTTCGTTCCATGGATCCACAATACAAGTGAGATATAGGACATGTCCATACAGTGATTATTCTTAAAATTAATAGAGCAAGAGCTAAGTACATAAATAAAAAAAGTATAAAATACAAATACAAAAACAGAAACAAATCAGAAACAAAACATGTAGAATCAAATAGATTCCAGTCATATAAGTTAATTTTGATGAAACATGCAGTTTAAATTTAGACAATGTCAGTTTGAACATATCACAGAAATTGCATAATGACTAGAATAATACTAATAAATAACAGGATGATCAACAGGTGATTCTAGCGAATGCATAATCTTTAACTTAGAATGATTTATATTGGAAATATTCTTCCATAGAGTAAAAATGATGAAGATAAAGAAAACACTTTAAACAAATTTTGAACTTCTTAGGGTTGAGTGACTCTTCTTTTATATAAGAAGGAAGATTATTATAAATTTTTATGCCCATATAATACACTCCCCTTTGATATACCGTAAAATTTGCTATGGGTTGATAGAAATTTGTAATATGTCTTGTATTTATATTATGATTTAGTGAATTTGGAATAAAGAGACTCCTATTATTAACCACAAAGAGCATGAGTGAAAGAATATACTGTGAAGCCAAAGGCAAAATTTCCAATTTCCGAAAGAGATCTCTACATGAAACTCTACTATTACAGCCGATCATAATTCTAATTATCTTCTTCTGCATTCTAAATACTTTTATACTATGAGGCGAGACTCCCCAAAAGCAAAGACCATAGTTCATAACAGAGCCAAAATAAGAGTAGTAAATTGTTTTCAAAGTTTTTAGAGGCAAGTATGGTTTAATACTTCTCATCATATAACATGCTGAGGTAAGTTTTGGGATTATACATTCCACATGTGAACTCCAGTTGAGTGTATCCATTATGTTTATACCAAGAAACTTTATATTTGACACAGTGGTTACTGGACGATTGTTACAAACAATATCTACGTCGGTTGTGAGTTTATTTTTGGTTTTAAACTGCATACTATGAGTTTTATTAATATTTATTGAAAGCAAATTTGTCCTAAACCACTTATATAAATGATTAAAAACATTATTCATATTAATATGGAGATTTTCTGAATTTGAACCTTTAATTAGTACGCTTGTATCGTCGGCAAACAAAATGGATATAGCATTGTTAATTACGATTTTGGGCAGATCGTTGATATAAATGAGAAACAGCAACGGGCCCAAAACCGAGCCTTGAGGAACACCATCAGTTATTTTTCCCCAAGAAGAATGGGTAGTTTGATTAGAATCTATTTCACAAACTTGAATTCTCTGATATCTATTGTTAAGATTGATTCAAACCATTTTTTAGCTTTACCATTTATACCATAGAATTGCAGTTTAGACAATACAATATCATGTTTCAAACAGTCAAATGCCTTCTCAAGGTCAAAGAATATACCACCTATTGGAAGTTTACTATTTAAAGCTTGCAAGGATTCATTAATTAATTTGTAAATGGCTTTATTGGTTGAGGAATCCTCTCTAAACCCAAATTGTTCATCTGCTAAAATATTATATTTCTTAAGATGATCCAGAAGTTGATCGTACAAGACCTTTTCGATTACTTTTGAAAATGATCTTAGAATAGATATAGGTCTGTAGTTGGAAATAGTAGATTTATTTCCTTTCTTAAAAAGGGGCTTGACAACTGCATATTTCAAGCGATCCGGAAAGATTCCTAAAGATATCGATTTATTACAAATATGGGTTAGGGGCGAACTAATAAAAGGTGAGCTAATTTTTAATAATTTGGTTGATATTTCATTGTATCCAAATGAACCTTTTCAACTTCTTTGGAGGATAAGAACTTTAGATTAATGTTTGGGAAGGGAGTCTTAAAAGACTGCAATAAATAATGCATCATGTCATCTAGTTTCTGAAATTTAGGGTCATTATGAACAATAGTAATATTTTTAGCTATGGATAGAAAATATTTATTAAATTCATTGGCTATCACATGTTGGTTGGTGGTTGAGATCCCATCAATATTTAAAGTTATAGCCTTATTGGCACTGCTAGTTCTATTTGTTTCAAATTTAATTATATCCCATATAGTTTTATTCTTATTCAGGGATTTATTGATTTTATAAGCGTACTTTAGCTTTTTTGATTCGTTAGTAACAGCTGGTAAAATTTTACAATATTTGTTATAATAGTTTTTAAGATCCGGATTATTACCATCTCTACATGCTATGTAAAGTTCTCTTTTCCGTTTACAGGAAGTTGTAATTCCTAGGGTAATCCAGTTTTTATTATTCTTATTATTAGCATAAACACTCTTAACAGGAAAGCTAGAATAAAAAATTTTCAAGTATGTGTCTAAAAATGAATTGAACATATCGTTAACATTATCAGTAGAAAAAACAGTGTCCCAAGCCTCATGGCTTAATTTCAGAAGAGAGTCATTTATTGCAAGATCAGTAATTTTTCTCGTCATTATACTTGTCTTAATAGATGGTCTAAAATTAAAAGAATGAAATATTACAACCTGAGCATCATGGTCAGATAATCCATTTATTATAGGTTTAACAGAATAATTACCTGCCTTAGTAATGTCAATGAAGAAGTTATCAATAGATGTAACTGATCCACGTTGCACGCGAGTAGGGAATTTTACCACACTTGTTAAATTGAAGGTTTGTAGGAGAGCTACAAGTTGTCTTTTCCTCTCACTATCAACTAGGAAGTTTATATTGAAGTCACCACAGATAACGAAATCCACTGTGACCTTAAATAATTTATTAAGAATTAAATCTAATTTATTCATAAAAATATCAAAATTTCCTGATGGTGATCTATATATAGTAATTATGCATATTTTTCTTGCATTCAGATGAATCATGAGGTCTGGAGTTTATATGGGTAAATGGGTGTACTTCTTTCCAGATTGTTTCTTCAGATTTCATAAATAAGATATCCAACTGCTGGAAGTTCATTTAAATGTGGTGAACTGAAATTAAATTTCTTTAACTTGATTTGTACTTAGTAGTGGCTACCAGGTCATTACTTACCAACTTTCAGTAAAATTGTTAAAATATCAGAACTGGTTATTGTAATCAGCATTTGCTCCAAAGTTCATTTCGTCTTCCACAAGATTTATTCCTTTTGTTAAATATTGTAGCAGAATGTGTTACAATGACGTAAAAGGGGAAACATAATTCAGACCTAAATAGATGTGGATATGTAACCACAAATTCGATCAATTTATTGCAAGATATACTTCAGTCAATCTCTTGTGAGGTAAGAGGTGGATAACTTACTTTCTCATACACATCTTACAAACTCCAGGCACTCTTACATTCTGTTTACAATTTTACAAATAATATATCAACTCCAGAGTTATTTATCATTGGGTGAAAATAGAGGAATACAGATTATGAAGTAAAAAGGACTGAAGAGAAAGTGATCACCTTGTATTTCTAGGTGCTTAACCTGGAGTTTATCTGGAAGGACTGAGGAATACCATAAAGATAACTGGTACCCCAGTTCAGGCCCCTACAGTGGCACCAGCTGGTTGGAGATTTACATGCCCCTTCTGAGTTCCTCCAAGCAAACATGTGAAGAATAGTCATTCAAAATAGGCCACTGCCGCTTCATCTCTAATTTATTCCTTCTGAGCACATTTACATGTCACCATTTGAGCTACTGTAAGGTTTTAATAGCTGACAATATAGTTGAATCACAAACAACTACTTTTTTTCTCTCAAAATTGTGTATGGTAGAATATTGCAATTATACGAGTATCTCTGAAAACAAATGTATCTCATGTGTAATTTAGGTAATTTGGATGGGAAATAAAAGAGTCAACACTAGATTAATTCTGACATCAGGACATTTGATCATTTTACGTCCGATATTCAACCCATGACAGTCTTGATGTCCCATGTGAACAAGAAAATCATTCATTGCTACAGTAATCAAAACATAGTATAGTGATGATCAGAGTATTATTAAAAAGTTACTGAATAATGTAAAAGGATGTAATTATTAGAACATTTTCAAGTCTGCTTGAATATCATCCCTTTGCTCCTTGTCATATAGGAAGACAGTAAAATATCATTTAAAACATAAAAATAACTGGAAATAAATAGGTCCCACATACTAGTATTTTAACTGGCCTAAACAAAGAGCTAATGAGTACAGTATTGCAGTATCTTATATAATTTGTTATATTACCAGTTCTTCCAAGTCCAGCATTTACTTAAGAGTATTTCTAACACCTCTGGAAACCCAACTGTATTTCACAATGCACCTGTCAACAAAAAACATGTGGAACATCAGGACAGTAGGCTCAGGCAGAGTTCAGTTTTCCCTTTTAGTCCAAATTCAACTGCATAATGAGGAGCTTTGTAACTTGTACTCTTCTCCAAGTATAATTAGAATGGTCAAGTCAAAGATAATGAGATTGGCAGGGCATGTACACGATTGGGGGAGAAGAGGAATGCATATAGGATATTGGTGGGAAAGCCATAGGGAAAGAGACCACCAGGAAGAAAAAGGCATAGGTGGGTGGACAATTTTAAAATGGATCTTAAATAGGATGGGATGGATTGGATTGATCTGGCTCAAGGTAGGGACCAGTGGAGGACTCTTGTGGACATGATAATGAACCTTTGGGTTCCCTAAATTGCTGGGAAGTACCTGAATAGCTCCACAATTGGTGGCTTCT